ATCATATAGCCAGTAGCCGTCGACCAAACAGAAGGCTCCATTTCTCATGGTTTATCAGGCCATAACCTAAAAAGTGGGCTGTTATACAGATAACCGCACACTTTTTGGACCGTACCATTATACGGAGGACATGACACTAACATTAGTGTTGAGACATGTCGTATTTACGTGTTAAAAACGTATTGTAATTTATTTTGAATATATTTCTTTTAAATACAGCACAATTAAAAAACGAAATTTGAACAGCGAAATACAAAACATAATTTTGACACCCCCACTAAAAGTAGCACTGTTTCAATGTCACGTGGTCACCGCAGATGATCTTGTAGATGATCTGTTTTTCTGTCCACACCATCTTGTTTAACGTGACATAGTTTTTTTTTCTAACATAGCTTTTGTCCCACTTTTTTTGGCAATGGAGGAATTTTATAAAGAAATTTGTGTCAAATAACTGTTTATTCGGTGGATATCGCACCCGACAAGGGATTATCTCACCATATACACCCTAAGGCAATAAAGCTGCAGTTCAGTAAAGGGTTGATGCCCCGACCCGAGGTGTATATGGTGAGATAATCCCTCGTCGGTTGCGATAACCACCGAATAAACCACCGAGTGAAACAAAGTTATTTGACCAAAATGCAAAAAAAAAAAATGTGACAAAAACCCTTCTATAGACGTTCGGCCATGGTGGTGGTGTGAGTCTATCAACGCGATAACTCAAAAAGTTAAAGATTGATCTTATAGATATTTAGCAGGTGAGTAGCTGTGGTTGAAATGAAGGTCAACTTCAAAAATGTCTTACCTGGTGCTTTCCAGCCGTAGAGCAGCAGACTTTTTATGCATTTTTTGTTTGTACATGTATGTGAGCTTTGAATGCATTTTTTGATATTATTATTTTATGGTATAACCTTAGAGATACCCCAGACAAGACACGACTGACCTGAGAGTTCACATATCAGTATTTGAAGCAAAAATATACAGGTCTTTATATCATGTTAAAGATCAGACGTTTTTTTTTCATTTAGTGTCATACTAAAATGATGATGCACTGATTGTTGTTGTTCCAATCTGTTTTTCAGATATCAATGAGTGTGCATCTTTTGATGGAAACATCTGTGTCAACGGAGAGTGCATGAACTTGCCGGGAACTTTCAAGTGCATGTGTGATATGGGATATGAGTTGGACAAGAGTGGTGGCAACTGTACAGGTTTGTTTCACCTTTTTCTGTATCGGTATAGCCGGTATAACCGCCCTTCAGCGTAACACACCAGCTTTGCAGGCATGCGGCGTGGCGACAGCTGGATACGTTACACTGAATTTGTTACACCGAACCTCTGAACATCTAACTCTAAACATTGTTTAAAGCTAATGATAAGGCCCCTACTGTACTAGGTGGCAGCGAATTCCGCTCTGAGCTCTAGGGAAAATAGGGTTTTGAACACCTTAATCCTTGGTTGATAACTCTGGTACTTTAAGTACTGGTATTTTTGTAAGATGAATAGACTGTGCCATTGAAGAAGCATATTTAATATCCCTACTATTTTGATTATTAAATAAGTTCTTTAATCATTTGTTGGTTTTGTAATTTTTTTATAAGAGATGTAAGGGTACACTTAAGAAAATTCAACTGGAAGCAACTTTTACTAGACATTATGATGACATTTGTAAAGTCATATGAGTCAATGTATCATTGCAATTCGTATTGTATTGTTTAAAATGTCTATCTGCACTTTGTTACAGGTTGACAGCAATAACTGTTCAATAATTATCAAGATGAAAGTATTCATTTATCCATGGCAACAACTACTAAGAAAACAATACTACAATGCTGAATCTATTTTACATGCATATTTTAACCTATAAAATTATCATAACTGATAACAGATGCGACATCTTACACCGACGTTGTAGTTCACTGACAATCGTGTGCTTTTTCTTTTGCCTCCTCACAACAAAGATCAGGATGAGTGTGCTCTGAAGGAAAAGTGTCTGAATGGAATGTGTACCAACTTCCCTGGAGGCTACGCCTGCGACTGTCCTCACAACTTTGTCTCCAACAGTGCTGGCACCGGGTGTGTTGGTGAGTGACCTGTTGTTGTACACCCATTTTACAACACACTAAAACTTGTTTAAGACGACCACGCAAACGACCAAGGAAAGTGGTCTTCTTACACAAGTGGCCTTCTTGTACAAAAAGCATTGTGAGAAGACAAAACAGAGAACAAGAAAACCACAGCAAAATTTCCACCCATTTTACAATAGACTGTCCCACTAATCTAAAGTAACGCAGCTGGTGCCACTTTACATTGCGCAAAGACCATAAAATCAATCATTATTGCAAACTGGTCGCAGTTCCATCAAGATTTCTCACTAGTTATCATGATAAGAAAACGTTCTCTGCCACACGCTTTGAAACGAAGTTATTGTCATTGGCACAGATCGGGCCATGTGAGTGCTCAAATAAAGCTGATCACGGTCGCGTTGGACAAGTGGTCAGCAAGCAAGTCCCTTAATGCTTACATCTATGGGGAAAAATCGGGACCAAGAAAAAGCAGTTGTTATGGCCAGATTATGAGCTCATACATTTGTAGGAGAGGTGGTTTCTTTCGTGGGCAAGTGTGACTGTACATGTGAAAATATCCAACACTCAAACGGCCTGTTGTTCTGGCTGGTCGTGTTCTGCCTAATTCACATATTTGCCAATCACTAGAAAAAGATTGTCTTTAAGTTGTTACCTAATAGTATACAGTTGCTTTCTGCTTTCTACACTGTAATTACAGTTTCAGTTTTGTATTATATACTGTACATGCATTGTGTTTTATATATTAGAGATGCCTCATATGTGAAAAAGACATTGAAAAAGACATTGAGTCATTTCTTAGGTCGATCGATGAAGGTTAGACATCCAGGTATAGTAATACAATACGCCAAAAAGCAGTTACAAGCAACTGGATATGATTTTGGAAACGGTCAGACGTTTCAGCTAGTATCCACTAGCTTTCGTCAGTGACTGGTCCTACCCTAATTTTTTCACAAACATTCCAAGTACTGAAATTCTAACATTTGCTGCCCCTTGTTAGATCCCAGGAAAGGTCATTGCTACTCTGATTACCAGGAACAGGGAGACCTGGATATCTGTACCCATGAGGTGGCAACAGACATTTCCCGGGCTACCTGCTGCTGCAGTCTGGGACAAGCCTGGGGCGACCCGTGTGAACCCTGCCCTCCCATTAACTCAAGTAAGTCCAAATTTGTCAGGAAATCCTAAGTGATGCAAAATGGCATATTTTCTGCACTTACATGCGTACATTTAGGCCATGATGATTTGACTATAAGAATGACATCCTCTGGGAACCCCAAAATTGATGCGAATGTGCGAATAAAAAAAAGTTTGGCAAACAAAAAGTTGTCTTTAATTCATTATATGAAACCTATATGGTCATGAAGGTTGAACAAATGACTAAACACTCACATTTTGTTTTTTTTTTCTTTTGGAATTGGTTTTGGCATTCTATGACATTACTATCTTTTTCTAATATTTTTGTAATATTTATGACATATATATGTATAGTATGCATGTATATGCTCATTTTTCAGGTGCTTTGTATGATTTACACTGAGGTAAAAAAAAGGACGAAAATTCATGCGCAAGTAGATGTCAATCGTATAATCAAATCAACATGGCCGTTGATAATCTGAAATATTTGATTTGCTAGGTTTAAACCCTGTAAGTTATATCTCACTGTGTTTTCATGTGCTTCAGCTGAACGCACTACACTGTGTCCTGGCGGCCCTGGCTTTAAACCCAATAACATCACTGTCATCTTGGAAGGTAATATTTGATTGGGCTTGCTCTTCATCATTTACTATTTACTATTTGATTATCCTTATTGTATTATTTCCATTTTCTATTGTATTATTTCCATTTATTGATTATATTTAATTTTGTATAGTTTAGAGGAGGAGGGCCTAGTATAAGCATGCCATGCTTCTCCCCTCCCCCTGCACCTGTTTTATCCTTGTTTTGTATTTTATTATTGTCTGTTTTGTTATGTGCAAACAATAAAATCAAAAATCAATAAAAAATCATTTACTAGATGATTAATCTTCAAATGCATTACTTAATACACTACAGTGCTAGTGGGAGTGAATGTACAAATAAAGGTCTTCATTCATTCATTTCTTAGTCTTATGAAGGTTGAGAATTTAGCGTATTTTTTATATTCAATCTCAGTAGTTTCGAGGCGGTACAATCTTTAGAAATAGTGAACCATGCATTAATTGTGCCAGTGTGATCTGATGATATCTTCGAATCTCCAGATATTAATGAGTGTGTGGAGTTGGTGGGTCTGTGTCAGGGTGGCATGTGTATCAACACGTTTGGAAGCTTTAGCTGTGAGTGTCCACATGGCTTCACATTGGACAGAGACTCCCGCACCTGCAATGGTATGTCCTTTTTATTCTGATCTGTATACTCTCAAGCCTTATATAATCAATGGCTGTTAGTATGCATTTCAATCTTTACATGTACGGGTATTTTACAATACAGGAGTTTGAAATGCTCAGATAAGGCCACACCAATTTAATAATTGGTTCTTGGATTTGCCAGCTTAATTTTTTTCTAATGTTCAAAAAAAAAACATTCAGGTTCTGAGTCATAAAAATGATCATATTTTTGCCCAAACAGACGTTTTCTTAGTCGGTACAGATTTCAATCTATCAATGGGTTGGATTGATAAAAAGTTTTATTATTTGCATTAAAGTTATAAATTAGCCTGCTATATTGACAGCGTGGCTCTTATTATAGTTTTGTTGGATACCAGAGGATGCCTAGGTCGGTTTTAATTTTTTTCCACCCTGTCACTTTCAATTTTTTTCTTTACAAATCCAAAAACCAACAAATCAAATTGGTGTGGCTTAATAACATCATTGTCAATATTTCCTGGTTCTGAAAGTCATTGGTTGTGATTTTATGCTTTGATGATGATCAGATACAAGGGGCTATGCATCAAGATTAATGTTTGTATTTGTTACCCTTACAGACATTGATGAGTGTCTGATTGACCCGACGGTTTGTGGAGCAGGCACATGTCTGAACACAATCGGCATGTACACCTGTGTCTGCCCTAGTGGTCACATGGCCATCGACGGTGGTCTCAGCTGCACGGGTATGTCTGACTCCCTCTTTTGGTCATTGTTCCATGCTGGTCATTTTGCTCTCAATGAATTAGTTTAAGCAAACCATTTTGTGTCTTGGAAAGTTGTTTTTAAAGTTAAATGATTTATTTTACTGATAGACGATTTTTGGGTCATAAAACCTGGTACGATGGGAGCAGGTCATTGACCTCTGATATTGATAACACGCTCCCCTGTGCGTTTTCATCAAACAACAACGAAATTCGATGTGTATTAGGCGAATCATAATCGGGGAAGGTTTAGTAGGCACGGTTTGAAAGGAACATGTGGCGCGTGGACCTGATGCTTAGAATGCCAGTTACCCGAATCGCGGTTCAGGCGGTTTGGTATGAACAAGACTTAAGCAGATGCTGTGGAATGACCATTAGCCACCAAAGCTGGTGCTCCTTTAGGCCAACGATTACAGCCTTGCAATTATTTGATCTGATTGAAGATTGGTACAGTGCTCTACAAGAAACACAGCTCCAGATTTATGTCATTAAAATAACAACCAGGATCAGGTAACTGAAATACTATGTCAATTTGTGACCTAAAGTTCCCCCGTGGTTTTCCTTGGCATCATGTGGCGTAATGGTCGGAGCGTTCGGCTCAGAACCAAAAAGTCCTGGGTTCGATCCCCTGACATGCCTGATGTTGTACCCTTAGGAAATGTATTTTACACGACGTCCCTCCCTGCACGGTGGAGTGATGCCCACCGGGCCTTTTGGCTAATTAATGCTGATACTGTGTCCAAACACTGGTGAGGTGTCGCAAACGTGTCGACATTTGCACATTTTCCACCAAGATCCATACATTTTTTGTTTGTTTTGTTTTTCTGGTTTTAATGTCCAGACATGAGGGAGAGTTTCTGCTATGCCATGGTGAGGGAAGGGCAGTGCCAGAACGCCACCAGCTTTAACCTGACAGAGCGGAGCTGCTGCTGCTCTGTGGGGGCCGGCTGGGGGGAGACCTGTATAACCTGCCCTGTGGAGGGGACAGGTAAATTTGAGTTAGGCCGTGTTGATTTGATTTTTTTGGATGACATTCGTGCACGCATGAATTTTGTCAGTTTTCAAAAAGAAACGAACGTTTTTGACCGTACTGTAAATCGCACAAAGCTGCTGCAAAATTAACAAATATATGACGTAAATATTACAAAAAGAATAATGGAAAGCAATACTTATGCCGTAGAATGCCAAAATCAATTCCAAAGGAGAAGAAGAAATTTAAAATGAGTCTATTAATCGCCATACCGTACTCTGTACGTTTAGTCATTTGTTCAACCTTCATATATACATGTATTATACCATGCTCGCACTAGTTTTGGAATTCCGAAAGGATGTCATCCATATTAGCAAATCAACATGACCTTAGATGATCAAGAGAACATCAGACCAAGAACATTATATATTAGACAAAAGACAAGATACTGATTCTAGGCTGCTTGATCTAACAATCAAATATCAATCATGCTGAATCTTTGCTAAATAAAAGCAATTTTACTTTGTTGAAAAACATACCAGGCTGTAACTAACTAACTGTAAGCCTGTTATTTTTCTCCCTTACATACTACGGTAACTTTTTTTTAGAATTACGTGTGATTCTATTTTTCAGATGCCTTCACTCAATTGTGTGGTTCTGACGTGGTGGTAGGAGAGTACTCTCCAAGCAGAGGTAGGGTTTTGGGGTATTTTTAGCGTGTTTTTAGGCTTTTTTATCGGGGTTTCTCTTTTGCACTGAATTTTTTTTCCACCAAACCCAACCTCTGCCGGCAGTCGAAAGCTTCAATGGGCTATAAACCTAATCACTTTGACACATTACGGTCGTTTTACACGAAGGTGCGAAGTGCGCGCGCCTCTGCCGAGGGCTTCCCCTCCCCCCGCTGCGAGCTTTCCGGGCTAACCGTCAAAACCACTGACCCGACTCGATTCTAACGGTCCGGGGTCACGGCGGCGTTCAAACTTGTTTTGTTTCGTCTGAGCGTATTTTTTCCTAAGTGTGCTGCTATTACTTACCTCCGTATGGAGGAACGGGCGCAGCGGGCAGCAAAAGACCTCTGGGGCTTCCCATGTCTTCGAGACGAGCAGGTCAAGGCGATTTTAGCCGCAGTGTCTGGGAAAGACACGTTCGTCGGTCTTGCAACCGGCAAAGGAAAGACCCTCTGTTACCAAATTCTACCAAACATCCTGCTAGAACCCAAGGTCGTCGTGGTGATCTCTCCACTTAAAGCTTTGGTTGCCGATCAGGTAAGGCAATATATTTATCTAATTTTTGACTTGCGTATTTTTTAGACAATGGAGACGTGACGACGGCAGTGGTGCCCCCCTCCCCATGTTTAAAATACCGGTACATTCAGAGTGACTTACCGTCTCCGCTTCATCGAGCTCCGATGCTTTAAAATAAGACTAAATAAGAACATACGTACTCAACTTAAAATGCAGTCTCAACCATTTTTCTGCATCCCCTTTGTATTCTCTTGCGCAAATGGGATGCACGTATTCTGTATGTTGTTCTTAGACACCATAATAAAGTACAACAAAAAGTTAATGCTTGATAAGCTATATATAAGTGTTTTTGTGTTGGACCAAAAGTTTTAACTCTAAACATGTAACTGCCAACACAGTACAGATGAACTTTCATGATACTATACATATAAGTGCTTGACACTACCTCAATGTATTTGCACATTATATACCATTGAAAGTATGGTACACAATACAGATATACTTGAACTTATTTCAGATACACAGATATGAGGGTTCATCTGGATATAGGGCAGTGCATCTGCAGACGGCGGGAGACATCCAGAGGTACCTGAATAGAAACACAACTGTAGTCTTGCCGCCATAGTCTCATCATGCCATTTGATTTCATTTGATTTGTATAAGCACCTAACATCAAAAATTAAGGCCCTGGTTACTATTAAGGAAAGAAAGTTACTAAACGAAAGGGTAAGACAGATCAACTACAAATTAGACGGTCTAAACGCGAGGAAATCTAACCTTGAAAAACTACTGAGGGAGAAACTATCAGACGAGATTTTTGCCGAAACTAAAGAGTTCATAACACGCGGACAACTTGATCAGCACGAGAAGGGAAAAGACAGACAGAAGACCAAATTTGATCGTTTACAGCAAAAGAAGACTATTAGCGCAGCAGATAGTGACCCAAATTGGAGATCAAACAGTTCCGAACCCAAAACCACTACACAGGCCAAAACCGACGAGAGGTGGGTAAAAAACCTAAGTAGCCATACTCTCACAGAACCAGAGAAATCACTGCTTTCTAAAGGTCTAAATTTTGCAGTAGCACCCAACAAGATTCCCAGCATTGACATTGTGACAGAAACCGAGTCAGCAATTCGTCGGGCACGTTTACCACAGAGACAAGCTGAAGCCTTGCGCACCAAAGTAGCTACCACCCTAAAAGTCTCCAAACCCCCTGCTAGTAACATCACACGGGAAGAACGTACCGCTCTCAAAGATTTGGCTACCAATCAAGACATATTGATCCTTCCTGCAGACAAGGGCAGATGCACAGTAGTCTTAGACAGGGAGAAGTACGACAGGAAGGTACAGGACCTATTGGGAGACAAAGACACCTACATGCCCTTGAAAAAGGACCCCACTAACAAGTTTAAAGGGAAAATCAGTTCAGCTCTCAAGAAATTGCAAACTGAAGGAGTTCTGGATCGCCCCACCTACCTAAAACTCAATCCCACAACGGAACAACCCCCTGCTTTCTACGGCCTTCCCAAAATCCACAAAGTGTCCCTCTACGACCCATAGTCTCCAGTATAGGCTCTGTCACCTATGAGTTAGCAGGTTTTCTAGCCAAGATTTTAGGACCACTAGTGGGGAAATCTCAGCACCATGTACAGAATAGTGCCGACTTTGTCAACAAAATCAAAGACATTCATGTAGAGGATGATGAAACCATCACTTCGTATGACGTGTGCTCACTTTTCACCTCCATACCACCCAAGGAAGCAGTGTCAGTAGTCAAGGAAGCCTTGGAAGCCGATGATACACTTGCAGATAGAACCAACCTATCCGTTGACCAAGTTTGTGAGCTACTAGAACTCTGCTTAGGATGCACATACTTTACCTACAAAGGACAGTTCTACCAACAAATGCACGGCTGTGCTATGGGATCACCAGTCTCACCAATTGTTGTAAACCTGTACATGAAGAAGTTTGATAACAAAGCCCTCAGCACTTTCAATGACACTCCCCCGGCCAACTGGTTTCGATATGTAGATGACACTTGGTGCAGATTGAAAAAGAGGGTAGCTGCTGACTTCTTTGACCACATCAACCAGATAGATGACAACATCAAGTTCACACAGGAGCCAAGCCATGACAACATGCTCCCTTTCCTAGACACCAAAACTATCGTAGAGGAAGATGGTAACCTTCGTTTCGAAGTGTACAGGAAACCAACCCACACTGATCAGTACCTGGCTTTTGATTCCCACCACCCTTTGGAACACAAACTAGCAGTGATCAAAACTCTCTTCCATCGTGCAGACAACATTGTCACTTCAGACCAAGCCAAAACGGACGAACAAAGACACCTCCGAGGTGCCCTGGCTAAATGTGGCTACCAAAACTGGACTTTCAACAAAGCGCTCAAACCTTCAGATCAGTCTAAGAAAACCCAGAAGTGCAAACCATTGACCAACAAAAACAAGGCCAACATCACTATTCCGTATGTCCAAGGAGTATCTGAGAAACTCCGACGGATCTTCCAAAACTTCAACATAGCCACTAACTTCAAACCTCACTCAACCCTCAAAGACTGGTACACCCTAAGGACCGACCTCACAAGGGTACCAAGGCGAATGTTATTTACAGACTCAAATGTGAGGAGCCCAATTGTAACAACAACTACATCGGAGAGACAAGTCGACCGCTTAAAGTAAGGTACAAAGAACATTGCCGACCTAGTGCCAACGGCTACTCCTCAGCTATTTTCCACCACCTACAACACAACCAGGGTCACTCTTTCAAACTCGAGTCCACGGATGTCTTAGACCGCGAAACACGCTGGTGGGAACGGGGTGTTAAAGAGGCAATATATGAAAGAATGTACAACCCACCCTCAACAGGGAAGGGGGGCTACGGGTCGATCTTTCCGGCACTTGGGATTTGGCACTCCCAGCCCCGAGGACAGACAACACTTAAGCTCCTGTCCTGTATAACAGGAGCTTTCAGACTAATTTGCATCGTCTTGTCTTGACTTGTCTGACTTTTGTTCCTTTTTCGACTTCCAAAAATTTGTCTTCACTTTATTTGCATATCAATCAACAGGTTGTGTATATAAACCTGCTTTCCCCTCTGGTCTCTCAGTCACTGACGAAAGCTAGTGGATACTAGCTGAAACGTCTGACGTTTTCAAAATCATATCCAGTTGCTTGAGTAACTGTTTTTTGGCATATCGTATTACCTGGATGTCTAACCTTCATCGACGTAAGGCCCTGGTTGTTAATTCTTTTCCTCTTGTTTCCTCTACAGTTTTCATGGCACCAGAGCAGGCTGTTTCAACAGAAGGACGACAGCTTATGCAGAAGCCCCCTCTCCCCATAGCACTGGTAGCAGTGGATGAGGCACATTGTATACACGAATGGTATGTTATTACTGACAAAACTCATTCTTATTTTACTGTAATGGGTGAACCATCACTGCAGATGAGGAATTGTATGTGAAGTTAGAGAAAGCTATCTTGGCTTACAACAAATGACAAAAAAAAGTTTATTTAAAATAGACAGATCCATGGTGCAAAACACTGTGTATAAAAAACCTTTGATCAACATTTTTCAGATATCCACCATCAATCCCTAGAACAGTAAAGGATTTTTCCCTACAACAGTAAAGGAGTGGAACAAGCTGCTGGAAAACATTGTTAGAGCTAAGACACTAGAGACATTTAAGAATTGCATAAACAGTATGTAGTTCTGAACATCAGTTACGGGTACTCACCGCCACCCTGCTTTGGGTGGTGGACAGGGAGTGGTGCCCCTGCCCATTGCGGAGCTGCAGACTACAACATATATACCACAACACATATATACATTTACATATACATTTACATTATACATTTGCGGACCACCCCCATCAAAAACCCCTACCCCCACCGTGCTGGAGCCCTCAAACTAGTGAGGTTAGCGCGAAAAGGGAAGAAAAAGAAGAAGAATCTCCATTGTCTGATCTAATATGTCTGATCTCTGATACATACTTTTTTTTTACAATTACTATTACTAGAGATCACTATTATTGCATGTGCTTAACAGAACTTAACGCCCGACCTGATGATGATGATGATGAACAGAACTTTAAGTTTGAATTTTTATCATAACAGGGGGGACGACTTCCGGAGAACTTTCAAGGAGCTTGGGAGCCTCCGCGCTGTCCTGTCACTTGACATTCCCTTCATGGCTCTGACTGCCACTGCAACCACTGCTGTGTTGAAGACGGTGAAGACCACACTACACATGGACGAGCCGGTGATTGTGAAAGGCTGCCTGGACAGGCCAAACATCCATCTTCAGCTGAAAAGTATCAAGAGAACAAAGGTAAGCTTTTCCTTTAAACCCTGTTAATCATCCCCCAACTTTATGATAAATAATATGGTAACTATGTATATATGTATATATATATATATATATATATATATCTTAAGGAAAGCACCAGATAATACCTATGATTATAATTATGTTCAGTTCCAGTTTTGTGCTTCAACAGTGCTATCTCAACTCATCATTACAAGATGATACATAGATTCACATGCACAAAGTGACAAACTTTTTTAAAAATGTAAGGCCGAAGACAGTGACTTTTTTTTTAATTTTAAGAACAGGTGAAAATCTATGTGCGCGGATGTAATCCATAAAATCAAATCAGTGTGCCCTTAGATTAAACAAGGGATAGACAATAGTATATAGTACACTCTGATATAATTGCAACATTTTGTATGGTCTTGTTACATGCCAAGCTTATCATTTATCAAATAGGAAGACCTCCAGCCTCTAGTGCAACACATAGTCTCGGCTGAGAGTGTGGAAGACATCAAGAAACACCTGGTCTACGCCAAGACAAAAAAGATGTGCATGGATCTGTGGGAGGTCATCCGGGGCCAATGCAGTGGATCAAAAAAGAAGGCAGTTAGGGCTTTCCATGCAGACATTTCAACTAAGGCAAAAACCGAGATACTGGAGGGATTCAGGAGTGGGGCCATAAGGATTGTTGTGTCAACAATTGCCTTTGGCATGGTAAGACAAGTCAATTCATTTTTCTTTAAAGAATATAAATTTGATGACCTGAAATGAACGCTGGTAAACTAAAGCTGCCTCATTGTTTTTAATTGCCAAACATATGGGTGTAAGCATCCCATGACTCCTTCTGAACTTGTAACATTAAAATTTCATCTGTGCTATCTAAACCTTACAGCCAAAGGTGAGGCCATGTTATTTAATTGAACAAGATGAACTGTTACATTGCACTCAAAGCTACACTATGTTTGTGCAGCTTCAGGTTTCCAGTCAAGTGACATATTTTGTTTGACAGCTTAGGCCCTGTTTTCAATAAGCAAAAAAAATCTGTTGGGCATTGTTCAACTTCAACGTAAGCCAAAATCGCCTAGGACACTTTTCGGTTTACACACAAGGACTTTGGCTCCAATGTGTGGACTGCTTTAGTTTACTAAATGTATAATCAATCTGTATTGAACGTATAATGGAACTGCCATTGATCTTAATATAATTTTACTTGGATTGGATTCATGCATACCCAACATCACTGCACTGGGATAACCAACCATATACAGCTTTTCCACACATATAGAACTGTTGCATACAGCGCTAATGCAAATATATGTTTGTCACACAGGGTATCGACATTCCTGATGTTCATGGCGTGGTCGTATATCACGTGCCCACCACCATTGGGCAGCTCTATCAGGTAAATGCTCTTTTGTATCAATAAATTTCCATGCAGGAATCTATTTGATCAACATTATGTTCCACTAGGAGACTCTTGCACAACTGTATTGTTCAGTTGAAGGATAGTGAAATTGGCCTTTACCTCTTCATGGTTTATTTTCATCAGTGTTTACAATGTTATCCACTCTTGAAGGTTTGCTAAACTTGAGTAAGGATGTACAGCATAAATGTATATATATATATAGAGAATTGTTCTGCTTTGATTGAGTGCTCAATAAGTCTATTTATTTAAAAACTATCACCAGAAAATTACATAAATTTACAGTGCCGAAATGAATCCATTTGATAAGCCAGCTTAAGAATTTTGTTTATGTCTGACTTGAGGTATATGTTGCTTTTGCTCCAGGAAATTGGGAGAGCCGGACGAGATGGGGAGCAAGCCACTGCCACCATTTTTCATGGTAAAGCTGACCTCAGCAAAGCTGAAGAAGACGTGAAAGCATTCGTACAGACAACAGGGTGCCTCCGGGAAGAGCTGCTTAAACATCTTGGCCAAGATCTCGAAGAGCCCCCAGAAAATTGTTGCACGACGGAGGAGGACCCCAACAACAATGGCCTCTTCATCTTCCTGCAACAAGCCAACCCTGAACATGCTGACCAGACGAGACCAAGAGCCCCCAATCGTAAACAGCGCCAGGACACAAAAAGGGGTGATGAACTTAAAGCCAAGCTGAGGGAGATGCGGGACTCCTGGTTTGAGGAAAGGCCGGAACTCCAGCTTTTTGGCCCTGTGGCTGTCCTGGCAGATGAAGTCATAAACACACTTGTTTCCAAGTGTAGGGGTATACATAACATTAATGACTTGAAAAAGATCAAGGGGGTACAAGCCAAATATGCCGCTGAAATTATTGGAGCGTTTGACCAGTTTTTCCCTGAGTGCCCACCACGCAGAGTGGCAGTGGCCAGGAGGCAAAGGGGGGCAGCTAGCGCCAGGAGAGCCCTGCAGGACATCACAAATGTAGAGTAATTACTAGTAACATACCTTACTCATCCATTAGCGTCTGTAGATCAACCTCTAGGTCAGGATCCCTGTCGTAGATGTCCTCCTCATCTTCTGTTTCATCTTTGCTGAGGAAGTTGGTAAGCCAGTTGTCGACAGTGATTCGCTTCATCCCCTTGGCAACAACATCAGTGAACTCTTTGCCATAGAACAGGCGTCTACCAGGAGTTGGTTGGTATACCAGTCCTTCACTGATTTTACAGTACATGGAGCAGATGTCTTTGGTGGCTGATGGCGACGTGTGACCAACTGTTTGCCTTGTCCCGAAGACCTTGTCACAGAGGCGCCTCGCCTCGTCGATCAAAGGCACGGCCAACGAAACTTCCTGTGCATGTTCCAGTGTTAAGTGTCCACCTGATGATTTCAGAACTTTCTTAAGGACCCTGAAATGAGAAGAAAAATTCTGCTTCAGATGATTGTGATTCTAATATTGTGCTTTTGGGTCAGAGTTTTCTTTGCTGGACTTCAAGTGTGGATAGGAGACTAACTTATTAATAAGTAACATGCAATAGTGTCTCAGGATTCTAATCAGTTCCTTTCTGTTCAAAGGGACTGTTATCATGACAATGTAAATAATGTAAATGCTTTGCAAGTTGCCTTGTTTAAGTGTGATACCAATAATGTAACTGGTGATATAACTGCTATGTGGAATGGAATTTAAGTTCATTGTAAAGTTTGTATATCCCATTGCAAGTTACTTTTTGATCAAAGGGAATGTGCTGTTATCATTGATATGTAAATAATGTAAATATTAGGCAGAAGTTAGTTCTTTTCAGTGCACTCAAACACTCTAAGTAAAGAAGCAACTAGACCTGCGTGTTCCAGTGATGTTAGGTTGCTTGTCAAACTTTACGGCATGCAAACTCTGCACTGTGAACTAGCTTGCCTACAATCATTGCCTTTTAAGATATACTGTGCAATAAACTTACTTGTTGTAATGCTCCACCAGCATATCCACTGGTTTTCCGTGGCCTTCTTTGGAATGTGTGTTCACTCCGCGGTTGTGCGTCAACACATATGCCGTTTTGGGTGACCAATCAGCCATTAGATTGGCCAGATGGTTTGCAGCTTCGGTACTGTACTGACTTCGTCCAGTGCCTAGAAATGTTGGCAGCCAAAACCGCCAGTGAGCCACCACAGCTGGACCATCTTCATCCCTGCAGTAAACACATTAATGTATTTGTATATAACATTATTTTATGTGTGATGTATCATCTGGTCCTTACTTTTAAATCATTCGTTCCTTGAAGCCTATCTGAATCAGAAAAACAAGGTGCACAAAGTTACACACAAAAAAATACAATACAGTCTTAACATGAAAATTCAGTGAAAACATTATAATTGAGGAATTTAAAAGACACTACTCAGAATCATGAAAACTCTTGTTATCAAAGTACGTCTATAACATGACACTACAGCAGGAAAATTCAACTAATGGTACATAATACTCAAGTCATAAAACAGATTTTCTTACCTAATGCACTGTCGGAGATCTGTGTACAGCATCAGGTGTTGTAAGAGGGATGTTGCAAACTGAAAGACGGAGTCGTCCACACTGTTGCCCGAAGACCTTTTGAAGATGTACTGGTCCATAAAACTATGGACAAGGTCCTCCAGCTCCTCTTCTGTCCGCTCTTCGATGACCTCGGAGGGACTGTCCATTTCCAGATGTTGAAGGAGGGCTGCAACCAGATGACCTTCGCAAGCATGGTGCAGGAACTCATCCATCTGGTTGAACTTCTTGCCTACAAAGAAGAAAGCAAAATAAAAACATTGACATGTAAATGCATACTCTCTATCTGTGAGTGAACTATCCATTAATACATCTTGTTCCATAGTCTTAAACAAACACATGTATAACATGTATAATGTTAGATTCAGTGATGTAAAACAATGACCAAAGTAAAGGCTACAAACCTAAAGAGTCAACAGTCCGCCTATCTACCGCATCCTTCAGATGGGCAAGTGACCCGATGTTCTTGGGCGAGGACCAGTAGGCTAGGAAAAGACACCGGCCTGTTTCCCACAAGAAGTGGAAATCACCTGTAAAAAGGTAAGCATTCCTTGGTAAGCCCTTCTATTTCAGATGACATTGCATAGATAAACAATGATGTGATGGCAAACTATTAAAATTTTTCTAGAAATTTGGAGAGTAATCTATTAAGACTTGTAACCTTATAAAACTGTAATCTACTAAACATCTCACCCGGACATTCCTTCGCCCACGTCAGTTTCTCAAGGTCATCCACATCGTCCTGTCGGTACCTCCGCGCACCTCTGATGTTCTTACAGGTGGCTTGGTCGCCAATTACTTCCTAAAGACAACAATTACAAAACACATTTTAGCACCCACTAGTAACACATGGCACTTAAAACAGATGAACATTCATCCAGTCATTAGAACTGACTATCAATACGTTGGTCATGACGTCTTAAATATCGTTGGAATATCATAGTTTGTATTGGAAATCCTTGCCAGTGATTTTGTTTAAAAAAAAACTGTCATTCATGGCATCAGTCACATTTTGAAATGCTTCACTAACCTGATCCCAACAGTTCTCTGCTGTCATGCCTGCCTCTGTGGCAAACTGTCGGAGGATCTGTATGTTGTCTGACGTGGTTGCCTCATTGGCGCCCATGAGCTGTAGTGGTCTGTATGTTGATGAAGTAGTTGACTTCCGCTTTGGTGGAGGCTTTTTGTGGTTGGCAAATGACAAGAACTCTGAAGACAGAACTGCCTTGATGTGTGCACCGAATCTCTTCTTCAGGTTGGTCATGTCCTCTTTACTGGGGAGAAAGTCGTCATCACTGAGATCCTTGCGCCTTCCCTGTAAAGAACAATATTCATCACAAAACATGTCAATGCATTGGTACATTATTTATTCTTACCTGAGATTTACCACATTTGAGAGAGGACTGACATAACTAGGGACTGTAACCTTTTTAAGATGTCAACCCAGATAAAAGACAGTAAGTAACACTATTGCCCATGATCATGAAAATCAATAACTTAAGTATCTTTACTGCTTAAGTCATTCAAAAGTATCTCAAAACAAACCTTTGGTTCTGTTGATAATGCCTCATCAGGAACATGTCTGATTGGCACGGTCAATCGAGACGTCCAATTCTTCATCTCTGAACGATGACCTACAACAATGAAAATAAAGGAAAATAGCTCACAACGCTCAGGATAACAGCTGCAATTGTAACTGAAATGGAGACTGTGCAGTTATTTCTACTGTCTTCCTTGACCCTAATGCACAATATTTCATGTCATGAGCATGAGCTAAAAGTGGATTTATGTCATTTGAGTCAAAACAAAACCCATATGAAAGGATAGGTAAAAAAAACTATGACTACTATAGTAAAAAATTCTACTAAAAAGCAAACATTACAGCATACCTTGTCTCAGTTGCTGGACGTTGACCATGATATTTACATTGTCATACGCCCATATTTCCCCAGCTTCCGGAATGGGAGTGGACCGCATGACCGCTGCATTTTCGCTTATCACTCTCCACACAGTCCTAGAGGACACTCCCATGCCTGCGTGGTTGAGTGTAGCCAAAAGCTAGGCAGAATAAAATAAATAAATAAGATATTACACCCTATTTGAATTCTACACCCAAAATACAGTATGTTTGGTCTAGTGGATATCAAATCTACCTCTGAGTTAGATGTTCGTGAACTGTTTCTGAGTGTCCGTGGAACCTTTTTAGCTAAGTTTGAACACCGTACCGTGTGAGACTATCTCGTGAATCCAAATCTTCTGAGAGGATAATGGCTACACTGTGGACGCAGGCGCCGTTGCGGTACTCCATGGAGTTTTTGAGAGGACTAAAACGTACAGCTCTGCCTTCCGGTCCTGACATCAAGGAACACCTGCTTCGCCTTGGAGTGTGGAAATGGAGATGCAGGCCAAGGGGAAAGAAGGCAGGAAGACACTTGCAACGTAAGATCTACCCCATTATTGGCAATAGACCTCACGTATGTAAATGCTATCCAACCATATCCAAATCGCGCCACCTACAAGCACACAAATGCAAATCAGACGATTTATCGCAACCAGTCTCGAGCCAGCTGGGGGGAATCCAGTCGTTCCTGACCAGGCATTGTCAACACAATGTAGCAAACCGTGTACTGACAAGGATCGACGTCGCGTCTCGGAACTTTGATCCGCAACCACCGGTTAAGCACCACGAGCCAACACATAAGAACGTTCATCACCTACCCTCTCTGTTCCTCAGTAACGCCCGATCTCTGAGCAACAAACTAGAGGAATTCGAACTACGTTTACATGATCTACACACCGGTATTGCCATTGTTACTGAGACATGGTTCCGTGAAAATTCGCCAGCTGAGATGACTGACATCCAAGGCTACACGACGTTCTCCCGGGCACGCGCAGAGCGATCGGGAGGTGGAGTTGCAGTTTACGTTAGGGAGGACATCCCTTCGCGTACCCTGGACATCCCCGTCCCTGAGGAGTTGGAATGCACCTGGGTGAACGTACGACCCCATCGTCTCCCAAGGAAGGTATCCTGTCTGGCTGTTTGCGCCGTGTACTCACCTCCAGACTCTCCCCACAGTGAGTTACTTATCGACCACTTGGTGAACACTGTCGACTACCTCCAAGTTAAGTACCCATACATAGGGATAATTATTGGTGGTGACTTCAACCGTGTTGATGTTAACAGACTTTGTATGTCTCATAACCTTCGGCAAGTTGTTGATCGTCCCACAAGAGATGTTTGAAGTTTGAAGTTTGAAGTTTATTTCATACTACAGCCTTATAGCAGCCTAAAGGCTGAATTGACAGGTCTGTTTACATACAGTGTATATACAATAAATAATTACATTAAAGATGTCTAAGTGTGCTTAATAAGACGCATTAAAATTTAATAAAAGCCTATAGATATTTAAAAAGTTTGTAAGCGATATATACATATGAGGAAATTAACTATTTTGTAGAATGCTAAGCGAGTAATGAAAAAGTCGTGAGTTACAACAAAAGGTTCACGGGTAGGCATAAAATAGTCGGTTAACAGGGATCATTGTAAGAATAAAATGACGATGTAATAGTGAGACTAACAATACAAGGCTCTAACTTTATAACTTGTGTCCATTCAAGATTCGTTGTTTAAAAGTTCGATCAAGTAGGGCAATGGTGAGTTTTTGTAGCGCTCCGTGCGACAGTATGGTGTGTCGATCTTGTGAGAGTTGCGAGTTTGCCGTCCGGACACATCACGCCTGGTCGGGGGTAACCAGTTCCTGAACTCTGAGTTCAACAGGGATGTGGCGAATGACCGACAGAGGCTAACCCGTCGATCTGACAGTGTGGTGAGATTCAGACTCTCCAATGCTGACGCGTAGTTGTCGTACTGATGTCCGAGAATAATCCTACACGCCCTTTTCTGGATGCGTTCTAGACTTGTGGTTTGTTTGACAGTCAGCGATGAATGCCACACGGGTGTCGCGTACTCCAAGGACGGACGAACATATGCGGTGAAGACAGTCGTCAGGTCGGTAACTGACATGCCGAACCGTTTAAGTCTGCGCAGTGGATACAGTTTTCTATTGGCACCTGTGATCATGGTGAGGCTATCCTTGACCTCATCATAACTAACTTGAAATCCTTCTATGTATCTCCGTGTACAGCAGATCCCCTTGCCACAAGTGATCATAACACTGTCATTATGCATGCAAAAGGTACACATGTGACGAACAAGATGTCCAAAAGAGTCTGTCGACCCTTTCCTGACTCATGCATTCGCCATTTCGGCCAGTGGATCACTACTTATGACTAGGGAGAAGTTTCTTCCGCTCTCACTACATCCGAGAAGTCCCGGGCTTTTTACAGTACCCTGAAAGCCAAGATCGACCAGTTCTTCCCTGTAAAGCATATCCGACTACAACAACACGACAAGCCATGGATCACACCCGCCATCAAATCAATGATCCAACAACGCCAACAAGCCTTCGCGAACAATGACAAAACTTCATGGAAGAAACTCAGAAATAGTGTGCAGCGGAAGATCAGCGTATCCAAAAGTAAATACTACAATACAAACGTCGAAACTTTGAAGAAAGAGGATCCTGCCTTGTGGCATAAACAGATAAAAACTATGACCAACTCTACCCGTACTGAACCCGTCATTCACATTGACGGTCTGGACCCACGAGACAAACGCGGTACTGCCAACGCAATAAACAAAGAACTTGCATCTGTAATCAACTCTCTACCTCCGCTGGACCCAGCAGTGCTACCTTCCTACCTGCCATCCCTCCAACCACCTACTGTAAGTGTTTGGGAGGTGTACAGGAAACTTCAACAAGTCAAGGTACGGAAGGCGGCAGGACCAGACGGAATTCCTGGTAAATTGATCCGCGAATTCGCCTTTGAATTAAGTGTGCCGCTCGCAGATGTAATCAACTCTTCACTCCAGCAAGGCACAGTGCCAGAAGAATGGAAAAACGCTACTGTTATTCCTCTCCCCAAGACGAAACCGCCGTCCATAAAGGAACTTCGTCCCATTTCACTAACATCGCTTCTGAGTAAAGTTGCTGAGAACTTCATCTGCCAGTGGACCTTGACAGACATCCTCCCGCGTATTGATACCCAACAGTTTGGAGGTATAAAAGGTAGATCCACAACCCACTGCCTTCTAGACATGACACACACTATGTTTAAGGCTTGCGACAAACCCAACACCATCTGCACCCTCGTCTCTACGGACTATAGTAAAGCATTTGACAGAGTCAGTCACACTGTCGCCATCTGTCGCTTACTAGACCTCGGGCTACGGCCTTCCATAGCCAGATGGATTACTGACTTTCTCACCAACAGATGCCAGGTAGTGCGCTATCACGGGGCCCTCTCTGACAGTGTACCGGTCACTTGTGGTCTGCCACAGGGTACGTTATTGGGCCCACTTATTTTCACCGCTTATATTAACAGTGCAGCACAACAAGTGGTCTCGAGGCGCTGGAAGTTTGTAGACGACCTAAACTTACTGGGAAGTACGAAACCCACCTACAAGTTCCTCTCATTTGCAACAAGACCTGACTGACTTAGACAACTGGTCAAAGGAAAGCCACATGATGCTGCACCCTGGGAAGTGTAAAGTTATGTATGTCTACTTCAGTAAAGCTTTGCACATCCCACGGCCTCTAACGATCAACAATGTTGTACTTCAGGAAGTCAGCTCCATGAAGATTCTAGGGATCCACCTCCAAGCAAACTTGAAGTGGAACATACATGTTGACACGATTTACCACAAAGCCAGCCAAAGGCTATACCTCTTGTGCAAACTGAAACACTTCCACCTTCCCATTGAAGACCTTGTGTCTGTCTACATCTCCTACATCCGCCCAGTCATGGAATACGGGGCACCCGTATGGCATTCCGGACTCTCTAACTCCCTCAGCAACAAAATTGAGAAAGTACAACGTAGGGCCTTGCGGATCATCCTGGGAGCCAGCTTCACGTCGTACTCTACGGCATGCGCGCAACTTGGTCTTCCTACACTCTACGCACGGCGCCACGAACTGACTGCAAAATTCGCCAAATCCCTTGAACAGTCTGACCAGTACAGACATTTACTACCACCGTTACGGGGGGAAGTGAGTGGAAGAAAAACTAGGTCATCTCACAAACTCGATAGTATCCACTGCAAATCAGAAAGATATAACTCTAGTGCAATACCTCACATGGTGCGACTGTTGAACTTGTAAGAAAAAAACTGCCCTATTCTAAATTATATTGTATAATGTGTCTTCATGAGATCTTTTAAATATTTTAAATTTGTTATTGCGTAATTTAGCTACAGTATAACTACGCTTTTAATATTGTACCCTATACAGTTAATGTTTTTATCATCTGTTGTTAATGGAACCCCCACGCAATTCAGTCTGTGACTGCCATGTGGGAACCATTGTTATGTGTTTTACATGAAACAAATAAACCAGTATTATAGATAATTGAAATGCTGAGAGGCCTTTGTAATGTAAGACATCTGAACAGCACACATCTGTAGCAGTGATGATGGAATGTTAAACTACTGTCTTATATTACACAATTTCTCCCAGGTACCTCATGCATGAAAAAAGCCTAAACACTGACAACCTAACATGCAATTGCAACAACAAAAATTGCAAAAGTTATATTTTCATACATGTCAAGTTATATTTCCATTTTTCAAAGGATACAATTTACAATATATGAAATCAACTGCTTGAATCAGTCAATCTTTGCGATTGCCAAAATTTAACTATAACCTAACTAACATTTAGAGGTGTGGAGAGATGGAATTCACTCCCCACTCCAAGCAGATGGGAAAACTGCTTTATCCATACATTAAAAAAAATGTGCAAGTACTAGAAGGGAGTCTAACAATTCTCTTGGCACTCTTGAACTATTAGGCAACGAACATATGAAATTGTATATTATAATGTATACATATAAGTTTTGAGTACACACCTGGTCATTACATGTTCTGGACAAGTATCC